GGTCAAATATTTGAATAAAGGGGTTAAAAAGCCAGACAGAGAAATGAGGAACTTAGTTTAAAGAAGTGGTGCTTGTTTACAGTATATATGGGTTTTATTCCTCTATACTAGAGTTGTGCTACAATCCTAACTCAAATCATGACAAAATATTTAATCAGAACATTCAAATAGAGTTTAGTGGAGGTTAAACCTGGATGAGATAACCCCTCCCTCTTCAGGATGTTCTATATACACACAGTTGTTGATCTCAACATTTTCCAGAGATTTACCATGAATGCTCTCTGTAATCTATGTAGTTATAACTCTCTGTTTAAATTATTCAGTAGAATTCAATCAATTACTTTTTAACACCATGTTTTAGGCTCCAGTATCTATGATGTCATGTTTTATCTTGCAAAATTATCCCTGGACATCGCTGCATAAAAGCCCTTTAATTGGTCATACATTATATTCATGAAGAACTTCTATTGGAGACTTGCAATTTACTATGAAAAGATATTAAACTTCTAAAATGGAAGTTTGAAGTCTGCTTTTTATTCAACTTACAATTTATTTTCACATCTTCATTCTGGTTGCAGTCTTTATATTCTCTTCAGTCAGAATTAATTCAATTCAATTCCAATTCCCAGTTAAAAAATTTATTCAACCAATAACTAAATTTTTAACTTTCTTCTCCGAATCACCAATTGATTAGATTATAAAGTTGTTATAGAAACAAACTTTTAAATTCCACTTTCAAATACTGAAATGACATTAATAAACTCACACAAGTGAATAAATAATATGACATCTTATTGGGTTATTTTTTATCAAAGTCATGCAAAAAAAACCCAATTTGTCCAATTTATCTTAGATATACATAAATATATCACGTTTCATCAAAGGATCATTTCAATGTGCTCTCAGAAAAATAAATGATCTTTAATGTCTTTATTTCCCAAAAAAACACTATTGTACTGCCGAGAGTTTCTATAACACCTATAACTGCCCTCTTGTATCAATAAATTTGTTTCCAAGATATATGTGCTACATATTACAGATTTACATTCTCTTTAAGAAAAAATTATTTAATTGAAAAATTTGACCTTCTGTGAAATTGATAATGGTAGAGTTTATATGTAGTTTGGTCAAAATATCTTCATGATCTCCTAAAGAATCCAATCAAATTTACCCTTCCTCACCAACAAAAATGAAGGGAGCCGCAGTGGCTCAATGAGTTAGAAGCTTGCTTGCTAACCTAAAGGTCCAGGGATCAATCCAGGCATACCTTCACATTTTTCAACCCAGTTTCCCCCTGTCAGTGGTAAGGCTAATGTGTTGTTTGGCTGGGACAATAAACTGGGCCCCATGTGCTTCAGGCTGTGCATGTTAAAGATCCCTCAAGAGTTGGAAATCTAAAAAAGAGCAGGCATGGTGCAGAAAGTATAACGTAAAACTCCATTCATTTCATTTCAGTTACCAACAAAAATTAGTCCAGCGCACCCAAGTCTAAATGCCGTGAAATGAGCAGACTGTGGAATTTCCAAATGAGTTTATATAGAAACTATAACAGACTATGGTGTTCAAGGTCAAATAAATGGCTATCTTGACCTTTACTAAAGGAATAATAAGAGAGTAATTTTCTAGTTGAATTCTCATAAGAAATGGCCTGTCGCAAGCATTGATAGTCAAAATGATTGTGTTTTGATCCCCCAGGACAGTATACTATATTATTAAATATATATATATAACTTGGATATAGCTATCAATGAAAGTCAGCTTCATAGAGTTCAGAAAGACAATGTATTTTCTTAGTATTTAACAAAATCCAACTATCTCGGTATGCAACCACATACACAATATCAAACTCTTCCAAGACAATATTAAGAATACCAAGTATTGTAATTTTGATGTAATTTGGTTTGTCAAGGGAAATTTCATTAAAAAATTTGTGAACACTGAACTCATTTGAGACCCTATCAATATCTTATAAGCAAACCAAGTTTAATCATGACCTGATCAAAAGTGTAGTATCAATCGAATGCTCCCTGACCTGAATGTCCAGGATTCAATACTAGCATAGGTTGAGAAAATATCCTTGGATTTTTCAACCCAGTTTCCAAAGTCAGTGATGCAGGTCAGAGGGACTTCGTATAGAACAAAAAGCTGAAGCCTTCTGTGCTAAATGAAGTGCACGTTAAGATCCCTTGAAAGAGAAAGCTAAAATTTTCTTCATTGCACACATCATGGTGTTACCCATGTTCAAAAGACCATTTTATTTTAATCTTACAAAAAAAGTCCATTAAAGGGTGATAACTCTAATTTGTAACAAAAAAGCAATTATTGACATTTGCTTAGGAGTGTTGTAAGAAGCAAGTTGGACCAGATTAGACCATGATATTTTTCATGATAAATTTCTAATTAAAAAAGTACCAATTATGAGGTCTCTTCAAATGGAATGCAAAGATGACAACCCAATCCCATGGAACATCAGGTGTTCGATGAGTGAGTATGTTGTTTCAATAGCAAAATTATTAATTTAAATTGCTAGTGTAAAGCTAGAGATAGTGGATCACTTCCAAATAGATCTATTTCAGCATGCATTCTCACTTGATATTCATTTCTTGATCGTACCAAGTTTCATGAAAATCATTTGAAGGTAAAGGAGGTTTTTATATTCCCATACTAAATTTCATCAAAATTGTTTTAAACTTTAGAATCTCAAAAGTTTACAAGGAAATTTGAACTGATGAAAACTGTCAGACATGGGTACCAACAATAACTAGGTGTTTAAAAATAAGACAAAATGTTAATAACACAGAATTTTTATTGAAATATTGATTGAAAAACAAAACACTCTTTCATCACAACAAATTCCCTGAACAAATAATTTAAAATAAAATATTTCTTATACATTATTTCAAAAAATTTAAAAAATAATTCAAAATGAACTAACTTACAGTGATAAAGCTGAAAAAATCAGCTATATATTTACTTGATATTTCAATTTAGTACCAGTAATTTCTAAAAAGGTGCAAAAAAACATTTTGAAAGTCAAATTGTGATAAATTGGGTAACAAAAACAGACTGATTGTATTATGATATATATTCAGCAAATTTTGGATTATCATACTTAGCAGGACTGTTGATTAGAACCATCAACCAGTCATATATACATGTGCTCAAATTATCTTCCTGTGTTTGTGATCAAGGGCTTTATGATTTTCAGTAAACGTAACTTTCCATAAATGTTATTTTATATTTACTCTATATGTCAATTATTATCAGAAGTTTTTTCTCAAATCTTATATCATGTTTCACTCCACCTATAACGGGAATGTGAATATACAATGTATTTATCTGAAACAGCACATGGACAGCAAGCAGCGAGCCAAAGCTCTTTATGTATGAACTTTTGACTTTGTACAAACCATTGTTTTTGATTTAAATAAAGTCATAATAAAGTTAATATTTTATAAAATAATAATAAATTTTAGTAAAATTGATATGAACATAGAAAAAGAAAAGTGCTATCAACAGAACTAAGCAGTGAAAAGAAACAAGTTTTGAAATTTTGAGGCCTTGTACCTTTAAGAAGGAACAATCACAATATATATTTATATGGTAGCTACTCAAATAAAACATTGTATGTCAGTTAAGAATTATTAAATGAGAAGTCTTCATTACTACCATTATAAATATCAAAATTGTGATTTCTACCTTTTTTAATTAAGCTTATTTATTTACTAAAATCAATATAAATACTCTGTATATTTGTAGAAATTTTATACAATTTTTTGAAAAACTTATACAAACATCAGGCAGTGTTTGATGATATGTAAAATAGGAAATAACTGAACATAATATAAATTAATTCCATGGGGAATTTGTCCTATGATTAATAGCTTAATTTTTCAATTTGTAGTACTAATAATCAATATTAGTATAAACCATTACTTTATAGTTACTATTATGTCACCTTAGCCATATCCCATTACAATTACATGTAGGAATACAGGTGATATACATATACAAATGCATTTGAACACATAACATTACTCCTGTTACCGTTAACATAGTATAAAATGTCTATTTTCAATGCCCACCTTAATTCATTACTACGCTATAAAAATATATATTGAAAATTCATATAATCAAAAAAAAAAATTTCAAATTTCTTAAGAAAGTAACACATCTATATTTACAGCAATTTCAACCAAAAATACAAATATGGCATGGCATTAAATAAATAAATCTTATTATTTTGTCTGTAGAATCATGATTAGCATTAGTAAACAACTTCAAAATGAAAACAAATTACTTTCATGATAAAAATATTTCAAAATATAACAATCAGTCAAACGCATGAAAAAGACAATGAAAAAAGATGGAATTTACCATTTTTCATTCAGTCTGTTTTCTTTGATTCACTGAAAAAAGAAAGAGAAAAAAAATAGATTAAAGCTGACTGACTAGTATAACAAATCTAAGAAGAGGCAAGGTGTGTCACAGGCTGGATATCATTTTTGTGTAAATTACTAACTTTTTCAAAATGAGCCCATTAGGTACAGAAAATAGGATTAAAATACGGGTACCGGTAAATGAATTAGCCTTAACATTTCTTGCATTTGAATCTTTCTTCAATTTTCCATATGACCGAGATTGCAAGAAAAAATTAAGCCTTTTTTACATTTTTACGAGATCAAGATCTGAAAAATAATTGGTTTAACAAATTTGTTGAGCAAAAATATCACATTGATAACATGAAGAATTTAGAAAACATCACAATTCAATGGACTGAATACCATGTAATCAATTTTTTACCTGCTTTAAAAGGATTGTAAAGAAGTTTTCTAAATTTTTTATGTGCATCGGAGATGCAATTTATGCAATTTCACAAAACATAAGTGTTTGATGACATTTGTGATAAATGACGTCATCAAACACTTAGTTTTAGTTGAATTGCAGGAAGCAAAACTTCTTTAACAACCCCTTTAACATTGAGACTTAATTTGCAAAAGTTAGACAAACCTTGGAGTATCTTGTAAAGTGGTGGTTACATCGTTGGTTGGTACCACGACATATTTTTTTTTCCTTGGTATAACATATGTAGTAAGTATAAAATATACGGCTGGCCAGAAAATAAATACTATATGTAAACTAAAATACATTCCTGCATATATCTACAATAAAAATAGAATAGTATTAAATAAGTTTATTATACAGTCAACCAAGTATAAACTAGAACACATTATGTTATTTGGGTATAATAAATAGTAATTTTAACTATATAAGGCAGATCAATACCATGTTCATTCACACTTAAACCATCCCAAAATGAGGTGGTTTGTGCTGTTTATAACTTGAATTGTGCCGGTATGTACACTAGCTTGTGTATGACACCAAAATTCTCCTCTTTCTCAGAATATATTATATTAGATTTTACACTGGGACAAGAATCAACGATGTTTGGCTTTTTTAACTCAAGTCCATTAGAGACTGAAGACAGTACCATCATTGATCTTACAGAAATATAAGTAGTTAAAAAAAAATCACCTACCTGGTAATATTTGCTTGTAATAAGAAGACCAAAACTAACTAAGGCATAACCCATGGATAATGTAATAAGAATTTTCCTTAATATCCATAACACTGGTTTCATATAGTCTTTAGATTGGAATGTTTTCACTATTTCTATCTTTAATATTAAGCTTACAAGCTGCAAGACATAAATAGACTCAAATTGGTACTCCAAATATGAACTAAAAAAATTCAGATCACAAACTAATGATCAATCCTGATCCACTAATAGATATTCGTTCACTATTAATCAAGATAAATTAACATGTTTTAAAGGTCATCTGAGTTGTTCTAAATGATTTAATTCATTCTTTGTGTTTATTATTAGTTCTAAAAAAACAAAGTTTTTATGCAACAAAAGACCTTAATGTCAATCTTCAGAAACATGGTATAAGAAACCAGTTGTTAAAGGCCAAAGTTAAAGTTTAAAGATTTTCTTGTACTTGTAGATGTCAGTGAGTGAATAATAAATTAAGTCATATACTCAATCATACTCATATTCATACAAATAGAATGTAACTAGATCTAATACTGCACAGCCTACTGCAGTATTAAGATATCATTTTGAAAGAGGTTATGATCTAATCAATGACAGATATGAATGACATATCATCTTTATATCTTAAAAGCAATTACATACCTGACTTTCCATATTAGTCATTAGAAATTCTAGTAGAAAACAATTATAATAACCAGAATGTAGACCATGCCAGAAAGCTAAATAAGCTAATGTGACACCTTGTGAAATTAATTTATTTCCTAAAAACCGTAATCTTTTAAAAATATATCTACAATAAAATAATAAAATACACACCATGAGAACACATGAAAATTATGTAATGAAGCATATTTATTTTTTTCAAATAAAAAGCTTAGAAAGAAATAGCAAAGCAACCTGTGAAAACTGAGTTCAGCAAACTCATAGCAACAGCTGAAAAAAACTCATAGCAACAATTCATCTTCAAAACAACAGCTGCTAGAACAATTGAGAAACTGAGTTAAGCAATCCATAGCAGAAGCTGTGAAAAACTGAGATTAGCAAGACATAGATACAGCTGTGACAAGTGAAACCTGAATTAAACATTCCATAGAAATAACTACCAGAAACCTAGTTAATCTACCCATTAAATCAGCTGTAAGAAACTGACTTTAGCAAACCTTAGCTTAAGTTTTTGGAAATTGAGTTTATATATTCATAGCAACAGCTGAGATTAACAATCCATAGAAATAAATGTGAGAAACTGTGTTGTAGTAACCCATAGAAACAGCCTTGAAAAACTGAGTTAAGCAAACCATAGCAACTATCATTAACTGCTATAACAACTCTTGTTTATCAGTAAATAGTGTCAGTTGGAAGAAATTCATTGTACTTATAGAATTATAGCTTCTGTCCATCTTCAAAAATATACTTACTTGGCCATCCACTGATTTGTATTGTAATTAAAACAATGTATTAAATCACGGAATGTATTAGCATATTCAAATTCTGGTGTTCTAACATTAGCACAACCATTCCATAGATCATTACCATTCTTATCTTTACCATTATAACTTAAACCTAGAATAGTTATACTGCCTTCCTGTAATAATAAATTTTAGTCTTATGAATTCTACATTAAGTATATATTTTTAAATGGATATCTAAATATCGGTCTTGATAGCTGATAAAATCAAATTATGGACTTTATATTGACTTACACCAACAAAGTTAAGATCATTATCACTTAAAGACATTATTAACAACATGTGCAGTTATCACCAGTTATTAATGCATGACCTTTAACCTAATTGTTTAAAGCTCAACAAATAACATTCTTGAACACATTTGATAAATACTGATATAAAATAGTCCTTGATATACTTACAACTAGTAACCAAGATCCAATGTATTTATTTAATAAATTTTTACCCCATACAGTAATGTACCCACATTTATATAAAAATCCTAGATTCTGAAAATATACAAATAATAGCCCGTAAAAATCAGTATTTGATTTGATCAAATCAATAAGAGCTTAATGACAGTCATAATGTCAATGAACTGAAGAAGGTTAGACTATTATATAATAAATTTGTTCTTCATAAAATTAAATTTAACAATTGAGGTATCAGCCAATTGTGTCACAATACACTATTTATCAACCCTGAATATTATGTAAAACAGAAAAGCCTCAAATATGGTGATATCTGTTATCCAAATGTCAGGTATCTGTATATGTGAGAGTGGAAATGATACACTATGAAGATTTTGTTTGAGAATATATCTCTTCATAGAATTTAGAGTAACAATTCAAATACAAACCTGAAAAGATTCTGATAGAAGAAAATCATCTGATACAAACATTCCTAATATCTGATATATAGCTATATATAATGTACCTAAACAAAACCTCTTTAATCCTGGCTGGATACTGAAATATACATATAGAATATATAGCTGTGTTATTTGGTAGTGTACACCAATTAACATTCTTAGGACGACTTTTATTTGTTTCCTTGCAATAGCTATAACTCATGACTGAGATATCTAAGCAAATCAGGGTAAAATTCCAATTTTGTTTTCAGATAGAATAAAAATAGAAATTCAAAACTATACATGCATGGCTTAGATTATGTTCATTATTTCTTGAAGTACCTTAGAAATAATATGTACTGAAAGACTTTAAATCATGAATCATACCAGGATGAGCACAAATATCTCTGTTTTACAATACTAAAGACTATTCCAGCCCATTTACCTTTAGGCAGACTGTTAAATTGAGGTCAATTGATGAAACTTATAAAAGGCAGTATATTACAATGCCTACATTTTCAGTCTAATGTTGTAATTAAATATACTTTAACACTGATATAGACAAGATTCTGAGGAAAAAATTAAACTTAAACATTGGTGAAAGACAAATAACTTACCTATCTGGTGCTTGACCAGTCTTTGGATGAGAAAAGGCACCATTGATAAAATCTAAATATCTCTTCATAGAAAACTGTAATAACAGGTACAAAATTAAAATAGGCATGATATTGTTAACGTTCCATTATTACCTGAAAGTTACTTTTCAATTTTGTTATTAGCTTGAAATCCTTGAATAAAGTGGACAGGTTAATCCTTAAGAATTAGCAAGAAAGGTTTTGGTATGACAATGATAATCAAGTAGGACTTCTGTAGTGTTTGTATATTTACCGACTATGCACACCTTAGATTTCTGAGATTACAAGGAGGAGTTGATAATCAATTAGAGCTTATATCTTTACAGAGAAAGCACACATCAGATACTTTATATTAATTAATAGCGTATAATATTTCATCCATAATGTAGTATACATACCTGTGGTCCAATCATAAAACCACCAAAACAGTAACATAAACTTAATAATTCTACTAAACTGGGAACTTTAGTTAAAGCAGTTTCTTTCTGCTCAGCTGATAACTCACTCTAAAATGCAAAAATTGCCCATTTAATAATACATGGAAATAGTTCTATTCTGTTATTCTAAGATGACAATCTGAAATCATTGACTTAGATCACTGTATCCATCAATTCAAAATAATTTAAAATACTATCATCCAAATATAGATCAAACAACACAAAAAGGTGTATGCACCATTTCAACCAATCCAATGCATGTAGAATATTGGGATATCCGATATCAAATGATTTTCAGTTTTCAAGAAATCATAACATTAATTGGATTATGGAGTCAAAATTGATTTCAATATGTTAGAAGTGAATTTACCAAGAAAATATTGAAAATGAAATATTTAGGAATGAATTTTCATGAGACAAGGCCATAATAATATGTATAAATTATGCATGTTACCTTTTTACGTCCATCATAGACATCAAACACAACACCTGTTAATCTTAAAGTTAAAACACATTGTGGCATAGTCCATTTAAAATCATATGTATCAGTAGAATGTGCTATATAACCTAGTGTCAGATATAGCTGAAATAAAAACAGAGAGATTTTAAAACAGTGGGGTCAAATTGAAAAGTGAAAGCATGTGCTGACTTACTTGAAAATCATGGTGAAAAATTTTTGAAAAAAGGGCTGGAATGCCCCCACCCCCAATTCAGTTGATTTTCATGTTCCAATCAATTAACTAGTATATAAAACCAAAGCAAGACCCTTAATGTTATACTTACAGTATTAATAAAGAAAGCTAGTCCTACAGATAATTTAGTACCAGGAGTAACTAATAATACAACATATATTAAAACTATATTCAAAAATGAATGATATACATCAAAACCTGTAATACAAAAAGAAAAAAATTCTTATTTTACCACCAAGGAAATGTACATTCACAAACTACAGATTACTAATTAAAGGAATAGTTGTACCAATATTTTGACCAATCATACCTCAGACTCAGGAAAGAAGATTCAAGATTTTAAAAAAAGGTGCATCTGTCTCTTTAAGCAATATTAGCAGTGGACTCTCGGAACAAGAAGCTGTGTTGACAAAACAAGTTGTACAGTGGCAGAATCCTGCAGGACCAGTGATTGTTATTTAATAAATAAAATTATATAATGTACTAACAATTATTCAAAACCGGTTTTAATTTAAGGAGTATAACAGTTAGCAACTCAACAAAATCTTTGTTAAAGATGCAACAAAATTTAAATAGATACTGTAATCCAAAACTGAAAGGTAATGTTATTTAAAGGCTTGATATCTTTAATTATTATTATTAATAATTATTAATCATTATACAAGACAAATTCTGACTATTAATGAATAAAAATTATTTTATCAGTATTTATTTGAATGATAACTGTCTGCCTACATGATTAAGTTGAAAAACTTGTACCAGGTGTTTTAATTATTTCAACCACTTAAATAGTTTTTATGCATGTTTATATTACAATGAAATGAATTTACCAGGTTATTTAATAGCCTTATAAAAAGTGATAATTAACTTTATATTAAAGTTTCTGACATAAGGTTGATGTTGATTAAATGATGAAAGTTCAGAACTTTCGAGATAAGAAACACTTTTTATTCTATCAAAGAACTTGAGACATTAGTCAATGAAAAGAAAAGCTAAAGATGATGCTATTTGGGAAAATTCCACACAATATGCTTTTGACCTAAAAAAAAAAATAGTCAGTGAAATCAAAACTTTATACCTTACTGTTCAATTTTAATTCTTAAGTGCTCTAGGATTTCTGTATGCTTTTTTAAAACAAATATCAATAAATTTCAAACTTACCAAAATTGAATACTGCTAAACATAGACCAATAACAATAAAATAAAGATGTTTATATATATTTGGTTGATGATATAAATAAGCTCTGTACATAAATGATAAGGGATATCCTGAAAAAAAAAAAAACAATTTAATAAAGATCTTGATTATGCCTGGACCTGTAAAATATTTTACAACTCTCTGCCAAAACTGTTCAAGGATATCTTAATTAAAGCCGGCTATTAGCTTATTTCGCAAAATATTCTTGTAAGTTAGGCATACAGAATCTTAAAGAGGATTAAATTTACTCTGAAAATTAACTTTGGTGTATACTTTATTTACTTACATAGCCTTTGGCTACACTTCATTGGTTACAATGAACAATAACATGGACCTAGGGAGTAGCATAGGCACTGTCGAAAATGCAAAATCAGTACACCTTTTTACACTATGGCCCAAAGAAATTCTACATTTGAAATGACACATAAAAATCAAACCCTTATCTCAGAGTGGAGAGTGGTAAATGGTTCAGTAAGTGAATGTGGACGTGTGGTCAGAGAGTAATCTTACCTGCCAACAAGGACAACAAAAGTCTTATGGCATCTTCAGTAGTACCAATCGAAGAGGCAAGAAATGAAACTGGACCAGACATGATCCCTGATTCAGAATTAAGAAACTATTAACTTCTAAAGATTTGCAGCTGCTCTACATTAAGAAAATATTCCACATACACAACACTAACGACAACCTGTGTTGACCATTGCACGGGCGCATTAATTCTTTTCACAAATATTGTGTGACACAATTTAGTTTAAGCACCCAATATGCAAATTTCTTCTCGATTATGCCATCAAAATTATTTATTTGCCAACAATAAATCCTAAAATATTACATGGATATAAAATATACCACATTCACCGACAAAATATAGAAATATGACTTTTTCATCAATAACTTTAGGGAGCTAATACAAGTGCAGGTTCGTTCTACAGATATTGCTAATGCAGTATAAATTTGGTCAATAACTGTTCAATACTCTGGTTAAAAACTTTTTTTTTAAATTTCTGTAACAAATTGGGACTAGATGAAATAAGTTAATTACTACTCTGACACAATAACCAAAGTGAATTTTTTCAACAATAAAATGGTTTCAAGTTTAAGGTTGGATTAAACGAACTGGTAGTATCACTGACCTTCACCTCAGACCTCAGTGTTTGTACACAATAAATTAGGGCATCTGCTGTGAAATTGTGAAATTTTGGTTGTCACGAAACACCTTACTTTTTTCTTAGGTAGGCAATTTTAAGGTGGCCACTTCGATCATAACGGTCAATAATAAGCCTCAGACTCGGGGTTTGCATGAGTAATCTATACTTCTAAAGTAGATACAAAGGGACCGAACCGAAAATGAGCCTTAAATAAGTTTTGATAGTCTGGTGCATGAAAATAAAAAATATTAATAAATGATTAAAGAGGAATAAATAAATAGAATTTCAATAGCGTTTTGAAGTAGACTAGTAATAATTACTGATTACCGGTATATTGTTTATGTCATTAATGAAGGCTGAAAGGACTTCTCAGTTGATACCATTGCATTTGCAGGTTAGCTCAGACTACACTGTTTTCTGAATTGAATTTTGGCAATCATTTTAGTATGAAATTCAAATATCAGTTACAAAATACTACTGAGAGTCTTGGAATGCCTATGGGTTGATGAAAATGTTAACCACTGAAAAAAAAGCACACTGGTATTGGTAATTGTAATTGCTTAGCAAAATTTGTTTCATATTTCAGGTGAATTACTTGTTTAAAGATGGGTAATAACCAGTCATCAGAGCATCCTGATGTTTATACTTACCATGAAACTGTTTTAAAACAAGGAGCTCAATCTGCAGCATCTGATTCATCTGATGAATCTGATGATGAAATGCAAGAGGGTTATTCTAGAGAAACTCCAACTTCAAGCAATGTTGAGGATGAAACCAATTCCAATTCTGGTGGAGAAGAAAATTCTGATTCAGAGGAGAAAAATCCAGAGCAAATTTCTTTAGATCAATCTGAGTTGGAAAGGGCCGGTTTGGAAGAGATAAGTGAAGCAGAAAATGAAGCAGAAGCATCAAGCAGTTCAATTGCCTTCAAACAGGTTTTTCAACAAGAAAATTCTGAGTTTGCTACACCACCATCTTCCCCATTGTCAAAAGAACCATCACCTGGTCCATCAAGGAGGAGCACAAGATTACAACTCAAAGCTTCCACAATAAACATAATTTCAAAGAAAAGACCCAGATTGTCTATGAGAGATTCTGATGATAGTGATGATGACTTACAGTATTCAACCCCATCAGCTACTCGAAAAACTCCAAGTAGACTGGGCAATATTTCAGCCATATCAGACAGTAGTAAAAGTCAAGTAGAAAATATATCTGAAGTCAGAGCAGTAGAAAAAAAACATTCTAATGAGGCTAATATTACACCTAAAACACCAAGTTCTAGTCATCAACTTGAAGCAAGCACTGTAAGAACTCCTTCTTATGATAAAGGAAGACCAAATCTCCGTTCTTCGGGTGGAGAAAGCAGACCATTTTTAAGAGCAAAGAGAAGTGCACAGCTATTTGGCAAAAATGCTGTTCACCTACAAAAAGTTGTTTCTCCCCCGACAAATGAGCAGTATACTGAAAGAGCTGGTGAAGTAAATGTTGATGTAATCAAAATTGTGAATGATGAATCCAATTCATGTATTAATCCCAGAGCAAACAATCAAGAGTCTGAAAATGTTACTTTAACAAACTCTGCTACTGTCACAGAATCTGAGAAAACACCTCAGCAACCTGCAATTGTTTGTTCAGAGGGTAGTACTTCAACATGCACTACATTCTCCAACTCTGTAACAAATGATACTATTTCTGAAATTAATACGGTAGTTTCTACTCAGAACAGCCTTCTATCTGAAACACAGCAAGACCAGTTACCTGCCAATACTTATACTACTGTAGGAAACCAGATATTTACAGAAGCCAGATCTGAGGGTAATGATGTCACAATGACAGATGTAACTAATGAAAAAGAATGTAATACTTCTAGAACAAACATGGGTTCAGAGAAATTTTCAGCATCTGGCTCACATATTGTTCAACCAATGGATGCACAATCTGTTGAAAATTTTGCAAATGATATCACTATACCAAAAACCTTGGAAGTTATAAATGTTGAGCAAGTCTCACAGAACAGACTTCCTGTTTTTGGAAGCAGAAACATCATGACTTCTACATCAACAGAGGATTTACAACCTTCAGAAGTCAACACTACTGGTGGACTACTTTCATTTTCACAGTTGGCAAATTCCCAAACAGCAGCTCCAAGCATTTCAAGTGTTACTGCTACATCTTCTGCTCTCATGGTATATCCACATAGTCAAGCACCAGCATCTACATCTTCCCAATCTTTAACATGTGAACAAACTCCTCAAATTCATACATCTGCTCCAAGTACTTCAATTGTTGCTGCTCCTTCAGCTGCTCTTGTTATATTCCCACAGATATCCAGATCCTCACAGAATGGTTTCACTCCTCAGATACACACACCAATCTCTCCACAAGTCATTAATCAAACACCAAAGGTGGCCAACCCTTTTCCATTCAGTCCACCATCAACTTTGTCATCTGTTCAAAAATGTTGTATCTTTCCAATTTCCTCCAACTTTGATATGACAATCAGGCAAGGAGATATCATTAAACAGGATGCGACTGCCATTGTGAACTCCACTGATATCCATCTCCGTCATCAAGGAGCAGTGTCAAGATTAATTGCTGAAGCTGCTAGTCCCCAGATGATGATTGAATGTCAGCAGCATCTTATGAACCATGGAGGATCATTGGACATTCTACATGTGATGGATACTATTGCTGGTGGAAGATTGAACACCAATGTTGAACGCATTATCCATGTTATTCCACCATCAGGGAGTTCAACACATTTTGATCACTTGAGTGTAAATAAACTAGTTAGTGCCTACTTACAGTGTATGTTACATTCAGATAGACTACTCAACAGTACATCATTAGCTTTCCCATTACTTGGTGCAGGTATGTTATTCGTTTGATTGATGTGTCGGAACCCGTAAGAATCTTTTTGTTAATGAAGCCTTTTTATTTGCCGGACTCTAGTAATACCTGGTACATGTGCAATTGTTATTGAAAATTAAGTATAATATTTTGGTTCGTTGATGCACTTGATTCATCTTATGGTTATTGGCAGGTAATCAAATGATTTTCATGACAATATTTCTTTTTGTATCCAACCTAAATAAAATAGACAAATTTTCGTATCTATATTTCTAAAAGTTGCAATTTTTTATCTCTTTCAGGATCATTTCCAACAGATATTAGTATCAATGCATTCTACAATGCTGTTCTGATATATTTATCAGATAAAAGATCTCTCTCACGTTTAAATGACATTAGGTTAATCATCAATGAACCACAAATCTTTCAGTTTGCTGTTACCTATTTTACTTCTTGTTATGAAAATATTCTAACTCAAGGTATAGATTCAGCTGTAGCAGAAGCACTAGATGGTTTCTATGGCAACAGAAATAGTAATTTATCATCATTTTGTGTGAGAGATGAAGTAGATGGTAGAAGTAATAAAAAATGGAGTGCCACTGAATCACTTACGAATTTGTTTAGAGGTCCACCTGTGAAGAGACCAAGATTGTGATGAAAAGTGACATGGAAATTAAAGGGTTTTTTTAATGGGTTTTGGCAGCATGTAACAAAAATATTTTTAATTTGATATTTACATTATAGATTGTTTATTAAGGTGGTATATAGTAATTGGGCAGTGAATAACTATATAAGTTGTAAGAAGAAATTTGTTGTGGGATTATAGTCATTTTTAACTGAAACTTTTGCCATTTGAACCAATATCCTTTGAGAGTTAGATTTGAAAATTGATAGCTATGAAGTCTTGACAGCAGCTGTCAATATTAGCTCTTAGAGTCAAAGAGTTAGATAATTCCAGACTCTGTCCAGGATTGTTTTGTTTGCTGATGAATTCTTAATAATTGTTAAGTTGTATGCTTTGTTAATTAAACATTTTCTTTATTATTATTATATTTATATTTGTATACTACTTATTGTTTCATTTATTTTTTAAATATTGTTATTGTTATAAAACATACAAAAAAATATCAATGATGTTCTTGAATCAGATTGCTTGATTGTTTTGTTTTATACAAGTGAGAAAGTACTACAACCATAGCTTGATTTTATCTCGGTTTTATAACCCTCTTTGAGATTTTTGCAAATTATCTGCTATTACTTATTATATTGTCCCAGTGCATGTTAAAGCTATGGAATACTTTTTATGAAATGAGGACTTATAGAGATCATAGACTTATATGATTTAGTTGTCAGATTAATGTAAGAATTTTACTTGTTAGTAGTACAGTTTCTTTTCATATATCATTGATATAAGTACTTTTGTTTTATTTTGATGTACTTGTCATTAATATATATATTATTGATTGTAATAATTTTGTTTTATTTATGTATAATATCTATCTAGAAGATAGCTTGCCAGGCAAGGTAATATACGCCCACTGGCAGCTTTGATTTTGAATAAAAATATTTAGCAGTACAGTAACAATCACCAGTATGAAATATTCAACCTTCACTTCTTTTGAACTCTTTAGGGCGATACTGAATAATACTGAGTATGAGTTATTGCCCTTGTTCTTGAAAAAGTGTTCATTTTTTAGCTCTAGAAGGCAAAATTCAATCTTCAGGACGGTAAACCAAGTTTTGTCAAAATTTGGCAAGAATCACGCCTTTTAGTGTTTAAGCTAAAATTTGAAAGCATTTTCAAGAACAAGGTCAATAACTCCTTTGAAACATATTTCGATTTTTTATACGCCCACATGAAATGGGAGGCGTATATTGCCGTCACCCCTGTCGGTCCGTCCACAATTGCTCATAAACACTCTACAAGGCACAATTCTTGCCTGATTTCCAAATCCATCAAGAATTGTTTCTTCTAGAGTGTTTACGAGCTGAAAATTGAACGCGTTTTCATGAACAACTTATACCAAATGTTTTTCGATTTTTCTGATTTTCAATAGAGTTCAACCTTGGGTGATTACGAACTCATACCAAGTTTTAACAAAAATCTGTCAAGAATTGTGTCTTGTAGAGTGTTTACGAGCAATTTAATTGTGGACGGACCGACGGACAGCTGGACGGACATGGGTGACGGCAATATACACCCCCCATTTCATGTAGGAATATATAAATTGCTGAAATGCTTAATGTGTACATAATGGTGATTTAAACTAATATTTATTATATAAATTTAGTTGTCCCTGAGCTTTATATACGCCCACATGTGTATATACATGTATATATTTGGACACTATTTTCACTTCTAATGAACAATTTCTTGTATTTTATTGTAGGCAAACTATATGTTCTATCTTTTATTCTACAAATTTTTCTTGATCAGCAGGCAAAGCTTTTTCTTCTCCCACAGACATGGTTGAATTACATTTATTTGTTTTGCCATCAATTTTTAACAAAAGTCCTTAAAGTATGTTAGTAATGATAGTTGTTATATAGACAGTAATTTTGTATAGTTTAATTGGCATGACCAATTTTGTAGTTTTATTATTAGTTTTTATGTATTAATTGTTATGTATTTTTTGTAAATAAATATTTATATAAATATTTTCATTATGTTAAATGTTTATGATTTATAGAAGACAGACTTGGGCCTATACCTTGATTGATTCTGTGCTTTAACACAACTGCAATTGTTTGAGAGCAGCTTATCACAGTATTCATCAGGTTTTCTTATTTTAGAAGGTCTTTATGTTATAGTCTCATCTCAACCTTCATTGTATTCCTTACTTCCTTTCTGTTTATAATCCATTAATCATTTTCCTGATTATCTTCTTATTGTGACCACATGTCATCCTAATATCTAAACCTATCATCTTCTCCTTATTGTGACCTCATGTCTTCTCATCATCTAAACCTATCATCTTCTTTTTATTGTGACCTCATGTCTTCTCATCATCTAAACCTATCATGTTCTCCTTATTGTGACCACATGTCATCTCATCACCTAAAGCTATCATCTTCTCCTTATTGTGACTTCTTGTCCTCTCCTCATCTAAACCTATCGTCTTCTCCTTATTGTGACCATGTCATCTCATCATCTAAACCTATCATCATCTCCTTACTGTGACCACATGCAATCTCGTCATCTAATTCTATCATCTTCTCCTTATTGTGACCTCGTATCATCTCATCATTTAAACCTTTCATTTTCTCTCTATTCTGACCAGGTGTCATCTCATTATCTAAACCTATCTTCTTCTTCTCTTCACCTAGCTTCTGTAAATAACGTACACATGTCATCTCATCATCTAAACCTATCATCTTCTCCTTATTGTGACCACATGCAATCTCGTCATCTAATTCTATCATCTTCTCCTTATTGTGACCTCATGTCATCTCATCATTTAAACCTTTCATTTTCTCTCTATTCTGACCAGGTGTCATCTCATTATCTAAACCTATCTTCTTCTTCTCTTCACCTAGCTTCTGTAAATAACGTACACATGTCATCTCATCATCTAAACCTATCATCTTCTCCTTATTGTGACCACATGTCATCTCATCATCTAAACCTATTATCTTCTCCTTATTGTAACCACATGTCATCTCATTATCCAAACCTATCATCAAAGCCATCTCATCTACTATTGTTTTATCTTCTTTACAGCATTCCATTTCATATATCAAAGGTTGATTTCTATTGATGCTATGATATCCTACATTTTATCACATACACCCATACTTTTCCACTCATTTTCTGATATGATATGACTATTGGATTGGACTATTGTAGTCTCAGATCAAGATACACCACCTCAATTCTTCCCAAATACTTCCTGATCTTTATTTCATCATTTGCTTACCATCCCTTTATCTTTATCTTACCATTGATATCATTGCACCAAACCCTCTTATGAGAGCTTAAAGCAGTGATATTTCAGCTGTATCCATATCAGTTTGCACTTACAACCTAAGTGTAATTAAGCTTAACTTTTAGTGAAGATGTTCTTCAAGGTCATCCGATGTCTCCCCACTCGGATGACTAGAACGACTAGAACCCACGATCGAAAGATATTCACTCATCCCATCGGACGGACGAAAATGAAATCTTCGACATTAACCTTAAATGTCAGTTCTGTTGGGGAGATGGGGCGTAAGTTGCTGCAAAAAAGCATTTAAATGTCATAAAAGGGGGGGGGGGGGGGCAACTCCAATAAATGTGCCCAGGGTAAGTTTTAATTTCTCTTATAGCAGATGGGCGCTTTTCCAATGCCATTACATGCATAAAGTTGTGTACAAGATCAGTGTATCCCAGCTATTATATTCCAAACTATGCCAGAATAAACTCCATACAGTGACCGCCCATACTGGCCAAAATTAGGATAACAAGTCCATCTGTCGGGAAAGAACCCTAACCTGGTACTAACTCTTCTTTAAAGTGGCCCTCACACCATAGCAATCTGCAGTTTCGTGTGGTTGCGAATAAGAATAGTGTCATAAGTTTCGAACGCGACCTTTATACAAACTGAGTTGTGAGTTGTGTTTGAAACTTTCATTATTCGCAACTGCTAATCGCTATGATGTTAAGGCACCTTTATCAATAAGGTGACATTGTTAAAGTTTAGTACAACGATTAAAAATATTTGTCTCTGTACGTTTTCTCAAACTTTTTTAAAATATGAGATTTAAAAAACTGCATCAACATTGTCGTTTAAAAAATTTTGAATTCATGTAGCTTGATTCTCCCTTCCAATAAGGACTAAACTTGTCGAGAATTGGAAGGGGTCGCTTTCCAAAGAGAAATGAACAAAGCCTGTGGCAAAAAAAAAAAAAGAA